GCCTCCCCCCTCCCGCCACACACACACCTTTCACTCGGCTTCTGGTAGATTAGTAAATGGGGTACCTCACCTGCTTCACCTCCAGTTGCTCCTCTCATTTTTGTGCCTTGGGCACAGACAGACTCTTTCCACATGTTTGTTCTCCACGCCCTTTAAGCTTATTCTCAACTCAGGATTTTGTCCTGGTGGTCTCCCTTTCCGGCATGCTTTCTCCGTTTAGCTGTGTACCTGCTTCTAGGCTGACTATCTGTTTCCTCCTCAAAGTACTTTGTCTAAAGCAGCTTTGCCCTCATCTCTGGACACCAGTGAATCTGACATCCGTCAGATTTCTGTATCTCCTCCACTCAAACAAACCTGCATGGGGAAGGCAGGTGTCAAGTGCTGAACACTGCCTGGCCCATAGTAGGGACAGCCTAGGAGTAAGTTAATTCAGTATATAATGTGCTAGGGACAGTAAGTTAATTGAGTAGATAGTGTGATGTCACTTAGACAAGACCAATTTGAGAGAACTACAAAATCAAATTGATTCTTTAGTGTACGCATGTAGATGAACAATAACCATGCTCTAAACATAACATTCTTTTACTCCAAAGATTTGCTAGTAAATTTTTTGCTTAGAATTTAGAGCATGTTTTCTAGAAAGGATAAGACTTCAATGAACCCAGGATATGGCTTAACTGAAATTCAAGAAATCCAGGCATGTGTAAGGAGAATCCTTTCCTTTTATTAATTTTTATCCTCCCCTTAAAAAAAGATTTGCAGGGACATAGTGGTTTATATGTTGGGCTGCTTAACCATAAGGTCAGCAGTTGGAAACCACTGGCCACCGAGGGAGATAGACAAGCTTTCTACTCCTGAAAAGAGTTACTGGCTTGGAAACCCAGGGGCAGTTTTTCCCTGCCCTTTAGGGTCACCAAGAGTGGGAATTTACTAGAAAGCATTGAGGTGGGAGTTTAGGATCCTTTTTCTAAAAAAGGAATTGTTAACTTATAAAGAATCATTTATTCATCCTACAAATACGTGACAACAAACATTTAAGGTTGGCTGCTAATGTTGGAATGCACCATCTGTCGTCATGGTAGCCTGATCATACAAGCAGTGATCGGAAATGGTGCGAAGAGTCACACAGATGAAGTGAAACCAGGGAGAGGTCCTTCCCTTTAGGAAGACCACTTCTGTCCACAGCCCCTCCTTCCCCTCCTTTCTACGTCTGGAAGCACTGATTTTCTAGAAATGTCCCAGGCATTAGGCAGAGCCCCTTGGATGGAGATTCCAAGCGAGGGACTGAAGAGGAGCAAAGGCCTGCACTGGGCGGGGTCTGGATGACTTGGGCTGGATTGAGGTCCTCCTGTGGTGCTCGAGCCCGACCCATTGTAGGGTGCAGGATACTAAAATAACCAGGAGGATGGGGTGGGGCGCGGAAGGAGGGATCTTGCCTTACCCACATAGAAGAGCCCAAATTAAAAATACAGTGAACCCTCGTTTATCGCGGTTAATCGGTTCTAGACCTTACTGTGATAAGTGAAATTCCGCGAAGTAGGATTCCTTATTTGTAAATCAAATATTTTCGTAGTTAGAGCATAGAGGATATGAAAAAACACCCTTTAGTCACCATTACACTCGTATTACCCAATTTATTAAACGAAAAAGGGAAAATACAGTAAAACATTTTGGACATTAAAATTATCATTTATTATTTATTATATTATTTATGGCATCTAGTTTACAGTATTACATATTTCACATACAGTATTATTTTACATAGTTCTTACAAATACTGTAATCAGTAGCCTATGAAATGACTTAAGGGATGTACTCTACAGGTGGGTCGCTGTCTTTTTCCTCTGAAGGAGTGGGTGTAGGCAGTGGGTGCTGTTACGCAAAAACCGCGATAGAGTGAAGCCGCGGAAGTCGAAGCGCAAAGTGGCGAGGGTTCACTGTAATGTGTTAGCCAAAAACATTACCTGTATAGAAACTTTCCTTTATAGTCACAAGAGTTTCAGAAACTGGAATCCAACTGGTCTCTGATTTACACTCTAGTGATGCAGCTTCTGAAGGCAGGACCATTCCTGTCTTAACGTTCCACCCCTGTGCACATTTCCCTGGGACGTTGGAGGTTTTAGGGCAGAAGTTCTCAGATTATAGTCCAGCACGGGACTTCAAACAGCACAGGGATGACACTTGCCCTCTAAAGTGAGACGGACCAGGGTTCAAATCCTGGGCTTGAGGACACTACAATTTCTCAGAGCCCCGTTCCCCCTGTGTGAGTGTGTAGGGGGTGGGTGTACACTGCCATGCGTGGGAGACAGAACAGCACTTTCTGCAGAGGACCCACTGCCATTGAGCTGACCTGACTCAGAGTGACCCCAGAGGACAGGGTAGAGCTGCTCTTTTGCGTTTCTGACACTTCACATCTTTACAGGAGAAGATAGTCTCAACTTTTCCCCAAGGATCCACGGTTGGTTTTGAACTGATGACCTTGTGAAGAGCAGCTCAATTAGTAGTCCACTACGCCACCAGGGCTGCCATAGGGATTACTGCAAGAGTGGCTAGCAGTGTCAGTTTACATTAGGGGACCCATGGTCCTTACAACGTGCAGCGCCTTAGAGTCCCTGTAGTCGTATCTAAGAAAGGGAGGGACGCCTGCTCTCCTGCTGAAGAGGGCACACCTCAGAAGTGAGCAATATGGGCATGTTATTCTTAACTAATGAGGAAACAGTGTGGGATCATATCTGACCTCTTCTGTCTCCCCAGGCTTGATGACCACAGGCTGAGCTCAGACAGGCCTCTACCCTCCATCCCTTTTTAACCCTGTTCTCATACCAACCATCCCCTCCTAAGCACTCTGCTTCTGTGGCTGGGATCATTCACTGCAGTGACCACAAGCAGCCTAGAGACAGTGCTCACGAGGGTGGGGCTTATTAGAGAAGCTAAAGGTACAATTCAGGCGAGAACTGCTTAAGATAGAGCTGCTCAGCCAGGGCAGTTTCTTCTTTGCCATGCTTTTAGGCAGGCTGTTCTCTGGCCTTCAGCCGCATGACCTAGCGCTAGCTCTGCCGTGCTTGGGCAGTGTTACAAAGCTCCTTCAGAGCTTCTGAAAACTTCCCGAAGGGTATACACCTCTGCTGTGAGCCTTAACCAGAAAACATTCAGCTTTACCTCTGTGGGCCAGCAAGCTCAGCTTCCCCAATGAAATGCCCAGAGGCACCCCTCACTCCATAAGCCTGCCTCTTGCCCCGAAGTACTCAGCTTTACTTTCCCTGTGGGCTGATGAGCCTATCACTCTGTCTCTTGCTCTTGGCCCCTAGTTCTGCTTCTGCTCCTCTGGTGACCAAGCTGTCTCCTGGATTAAGTAGTTTTAATGTGCAGGAATTTTGGGGTCCCAAGGATGTGCTTCCCCTCCTGACTCTGCTCTCTTGCTGGTGGTGAGATCCCCTCTTCTGCTTCTGAGATGGCTGATTCCGTACCCAGCAGGAGGGGCCATCACAATTCTGTTAACACTCACTCAAGGTGAATTGTCTAATCCAGTCAGTGTGGTACCCCACCTTCTTGCCCCGCCCCATCAGGAAAATAAAGGTCCTTTGGCATGGGAGTGAAAAGGTTGTGGCTTGAAGAGCCCTAGTAAGTAATTCAGTGCATAGAACTCCTTAAAACTGTCCTGGGATCATTTTCTCAGGGTGAGTTTATACTCCCATGTGTCAGGAGACACTTGAGTGGTGCTTGGTGCGCGTCTGGTGGGGCAGAATTGCAGATCAAGCAGGGGAGCAGTCTCTGTGTCTTCCAAAGTATCAGCCCTGTTGGCCCTGCCTAGCCCAAGAAGCGACCCCCCCCCAACCCATAACTGTCTTTCTTCTCTGTGCGCTCTAGCTCCGGCAGGCCACAGTGCATACTGAGTAGGCTTTGAGATGAATTTCCCTTGAAGTAGTAATTGATGTTAAAAATTGAAAAATTAAAATTCTGGGAGCCTGCAAATTTGGATGCTGTTCTTTTCTTGGCACACAGTATTCTTAAAATCTACAAGAGCTTAATTGTGGAAAAAATGAACCCCTCTAGCCTAGAGTTTGTGTTTTGCCTGCATTGGTTCCTTTGAACGATGTGACCCTAAGCAATGAAAGGAAAGCCGGCACACTCCCAACCTGCTCACTGCAAAGCCCATCAGTCTTAGCCGGGCCGGAGATCTGTGCTTTCGGTCAAGTGTGGTCCCGGCTAATGGTTTTCCTGATTAGAAAGTCATTCGGGAAATAATCGTCAGTCACATTCTTCCAGATGGCAGAAGTCTCCCCTCCGATTTCTGAGCTGCGTCCCTAACAGGAATGTGATTTCTTAAGAATGTCATGACTCACAGCCTAAAGTGTGCAGAGCAGTTGTACACAGTGTCTCGCTCACAGCCTGCAGACAGAGTGGTGGCGTGGCCTGTGGCGACTTGACCTGTGGTGGCAAGTTGCTGTTTCCTGGGAAGTTCAGAATCCCAGTCAGGGCCCAGAGGAGTTGTTTTGTTCTTGGTGGGAAAGGAGGGCCTGGGCATTTGAACCCACCCTAGTGGGGAAGGATTGTTACTGGAGTGGTGAGAGCTTAGATGGACATGGTTCAGTAATTGGTCAGCGAAGCCTTTAATAGCACGTGCCCAAGTATTCGTTTCAGTGTGAAGTGTGGGTTTTTATTTTTCAAGTGTACCAAATGCTGGTGGTAGCCTTTGCTTGAAATGGACGCCGGAAATGCATTTCGCTGCCACGCTCTATGAGAAGTAAAGCAGTGTGGCTGCAGGTGGCTGGAGCCACACACGTCCACACAGACCTCCGTGAAGTTTGCGGTGGTTTCCTTGACGCACAAACAAGCTTCAAAGCCACCCCTGCAGTGCCTGACCTCATGGCTTCGGGTGGGCCTGCCGGCTTCAGGTGTCAGTTGCAGTTTTGCATATTTGCTTATTGGACCAGAAAATGAAATGTTAACTGTTTTTTACCTGCCTTTGCTGTGACCCTTCTGTTTCTTTTGACCTGCAGAACGCTGCGACTGTGGCAGCCACGGAGACCCTGGCCGCGGTGCCTGAGCATGTGCTTCGAGGACTTCCGGAAGCAGTGAGGCTGTTCCCATCTGCCGTGGACAAGACCCGGATTGGTGAGTCGTTGCATGGTTCCACAGAGAGACGAGCGTGGGGGGTTGGAGTTGGGGACGAGGAACAGGCTGCAGCTAGGGTTCCTTTGGGGTCCTGGAGGTTCACCATAGAAACCAGAGAATGATGTTTTGACTTGAAGGACTGTGTGGTGTGTATGGTTTTTCCCATCAAAGATCCAGAGGGGTTGTAGATTATAGAAATGAACAAGAAGTTCTCTCTCTCTCTCTCTCCCACCCATCCATTGTAATTCAGTTCTAATGTCCCCTCTCCCTGGCTTCTTAGTCTTCCCATAAAATATGTGTAGTTCCCGCCCCTCTGATCCCCTCGTGATCTGAATGTGTTTTGATGATTGTGTTTACTTTGTTATTTTGTGTTTTCACACCTGTCCCTCTCGTTGATGTTATTTTGTGTTTTCACACCTGTCCCTCTCGTTGATTTTGTGTATCTTCATTTCTTATTTATACCGCTAATGTCTGGAGTAGAGAACTTTTCACTTTAAGCAAATAAACTTCAAAACAATTTAGTTATAGAATTGTATTTCTAACCCATATAAACACTCCTATTTATTGAAGGCAATCTGGAGTCTGTAGAGAAGTAGAAAGTGTGCTTTAAGAATGATCGTTCGTTTCCCTACATTGGTGTCTTGTTCTGTTCACCCTAAGGCCGCTGTGAGTCAAAACCGACGCGGCGGCACCTGACAACAAACAACATTGTAGTGTTTTTTCTCCTCAGTTGTGACTGTTCTGTTTTTCAAATAGTATTTGTGATTGCTCTACATGAAAAAGAAGTTTTTAACTCATATTAAATATCCTTTCCTTATAAAATCATATATAAAGGCTCTTTATAAACAATTTGGAAAATACAGAAGAGTTTACAGAAAGAAAGAGAAACTCTACCCAGAACCTGACTTAGATGTAACTTGATCTCATTTGCTTTAATTTTATGTTGCTTTTTGGCAGTCTGGCCTTTGACTTGCTCTGTAAACCTGAATTGATTTTAATGCTTTCAATCTTCAAAAGAACTAAAATGCTTATTAAAATACTGGTTTTATTTTTTAGGTGTCTGGGCCACGAAACCTATTGTAAAAGGCAAAAAGTTTGGGCCTTTTGTTGGCGATAAGAAAAAAAGATCTCAGGTTAAGAATAATGTATACATGTGGGAGGTAAGGAAGCATTGTAATCCTTTGTTTACCAGAGTTCTGAAAATTTTTAAGGAGATTATCTAGGACCAAGAAATACTTTTATTAAAGAGACTATGTATTTTCTTGGTTATAGACTGCTTGCAGTTTGAGAACTACTGAGCAATAAATGTTGCATGCACTTACTCTGTTCCCTTCTTCAAGGTGTTGTGCTTTCCAGGTGAGATCTTGACTTCTTACCACTTCGAAAGCTTGCTGATCTTCACCCCAAAAGACCTCCAAGAGTCTGTATTTTAGGACATTCTCTGGGTTGCTGACATCTTGAGGGTGGTGTGGAAGCCAATCCAGAACCGTGTGAGGTGTTGCCCGGGTTCAAATCCTGTCTCCAGTGCTGTGATGTCAGACAGGCGGCTTCACCCCTGAGCTGTAAGATCTGCAGTTTAGCAGTGCGGACACTTTGAAACGTGGCTCAGTAGGGGAGTTGTGCAGGCAGGCCGTGTTGCTGTTGCTCTGAGAATTGTTGTTTCTGAGAGCTGCACTTGAGGTCAGCGTTTATGTGGCAGGCAGTTCAGATCTGGGGCTCCTTCCATTCCTAAAGGAACTCCCCTGTGTGGCTCCTTTTTAAATCAGGTGAAGCTTTGGCGTGATGGGGAAGAAAAGCATTCTTACCAGATCGTCTTACGTTGGACAGATCGGGTTTTCTCCTGTAAGCATGGAAATGCACACAAGCACTCTATGCCGTGGGGATGTTTGGATACCGTGTCTCAAGAAAGGCTTGTGGCATGTATATATTGTGAGCATGTTGCTGTTTCTCTCAGAGCTGTAAGCACTGCTTTTTTTAACTAGCAAATCCTTCGTTTCTCACAACTACTCTGGGTTCCTTTATTGCTGTGTGTGAGTCCCTCACAATATAGCTTCTGACTATTAATCTGAGAGGACTTGGGAAAGGGGCTTACCACGAGAATCATTGCACGATGCTGCTTCACCGTTGTTGAAGGAAGAGAGTGCTAGTGTGTACATGTGTATCTAAAACTCAAAGTCTTTGAGCCAATGTTGACTCAGAGCAACCCCATGAGACCAAGGAGAACTGCCCCAAAGATCTCCAGGGCCGTACCCCTTTCCTGGAGTAGAAGGACCCTTCTTTCACCCGTGGGACACACGGTCTGACCTTGGGATTAGCAGCCTAACTCACAATGTTCTGCACTACCTGAACTCCTTCTGTGACGTCACCCTCACTAAATTAAGTGACACAGTGGCTCCAACGGTGGCCTCAAGCACAGGACCAACTGTGAGGATGGCGCGAGACCGGGCAGTGCGCAGGGTCACGTGGGTCAGAGCTGACTCGGGCACCCAGCAACAACATGAATCACCATAATAGTAACAACAACAACAACCCACCGTATATATTTGAGTATAAGCCTGCCTGAATGTCAGCCAAGGCACCTAATTTTGCCACAAAAACCACATTAAAAATGTGCTGAAAATCTCGGCTTATACACGAGTATATACACTAAGTGCTAACTTGCTTAGAGCATACCCATTAGATTCCTTTGGGAAACTTGCAAAATTCAAAATGCAATATATTTTACAGCATAATTTTGTAGTCAAGACGTTTTTAGTCATGTGGGCATTGTCTTTAGTAGTTACATAACTCTCTGGCTGGATAGTTTTATTAACACACACACACACACACACACACACACACCACACCCCCACCACACCCCTCCACACCCCAACCCCGATTCCCTGGCAGCATAATAGGTTACTTAGTGATTGCACATTGTTAATTTAAGATGCACGATATTACCAGTTCTTTTCATCAGATTTAGAGATTTCGTTGTTTTCAAAGTTGGCTTTTCCTGTCTGCAAGTAAAAAGTAATCTGCATCTCATTTAGATAGTTTTGACTCGAAGGTATACGCATATCACACAGAGCTCTGGTGAGGCTGTGGCATAAGAATAGTGCCACTAATCTCAAGACTGGCTCTTCCATATCACCAGCTGCTCCGAGGGAGGAAGATGAGGTTGTTAGCTCCTGTAAAGATTTAGTTTTGGAAACTCTATTTAGGGCTGCTATGAGTAGGATTTGGCAACGGGTTTTGGTTTATATGTATAAAAAGATGGTTAAGTGCATGTAGCCTTATAGGAGCGTACATTAAAATGCAAGGATTTCTTTACAAGAAGAATATAAAAAAAAATCCAGGTAAAATGTAATGTTTTGCATTAGTTTTTTTGATCTCTAGCCCTATCCTCAGACCTACATCAGAATGCCTCTTATTAGCGTAAATGAAACCGCTTACAATCAACACCTCATCTTGGTGTTTGTTCTGCATCAAAGCCCCTTAAGACCAAGTACCTTTTAGCAGCTGGGCTTCATGCGCCAGCCTCGCAGTCCATTTTGAACCTAATCTAAGACAGAGTATTACATTGCTTTTCTTGGGACCCTTGATTATCAAACCCAGTCTGGAGCCCTCTGAGCTTTCAGTGCACCCATTCTGCTAAGTAAGAAATAGTGGGAGAGAAGCCGCAGCAGCGTGTCCTGGGGTGAGCACGCACCACGGGCCGTTTGGGCGCTCACCCTGCCAGCAGGGTCTGCTGCGCCCGGCTTGCAGGGTCCTCCTCCCCAGCCTGCACGCACACCGAGCACTCTGCAGTGTGTGAAAACCCGCTGCCGACAGGTGCTTTTCAGTTCACTTCCATGAGGCTCAGATCACTTCGAATGAGCAGAAATTTTGAATTGTTCGGATGAGAATTATTTTAGTTACTTCTTATAAAATATGATCCGAGTACTACATGCGTGTTATAAAGAAACAAACAGAAGAACCCCATATGGGACAAAGTGAACAAAGTAAAAGCCATCTCCATGTCTGTCTACCCCCTGGGGTCCCAAAGGTGAACATCTTAGGAACGCTCGCTTCACCCCGCCTCACGGCCAGCCTCCCCTCCTTTCTCCCCGACACTGCTACAGGCACTGACCCCGTCGTACCCAGTGCGCTTACGCTAACAGGGCCGAAAGCACCTGCAGTGGGATGACTTGCTTTTCTGTCTTTCTTTGCATTTATTTTTTAATTTAGCTTCTTGTGCGAGTGAAGGTTTACAGACTAGACGACCAGTTTCACATTCGAAGCTCACCCGCGTTTTGCTTCAGCGCATCCTTTGGAGTCCCCTGAGGCCGCCATCTCTAGGCTGCCGCCTCCCTGTGTCTTTGTGTCTGTCTTCAGGATTTATGGTTGGTGTATTTGTAAGGTTTCTGATTTTTCATTTACTTTTTATTGTTTTTTCTTTGTTTTCCTTGCTCTTACAGCTTTCTTGATCTTTCTCTCAATCTGTTGAAAGGGTCATAATATCATTCTTTTGAATTCCTTATCAGACAGTTCCAATGCCATACTTTCCATGAAGGTTTTTTTGATTCAGTAATTCGGTCAATTGTTTGAAACATTTTGTCTTATTCTTTTGTGTGAGCTTAAATTTTGCCTTTTCCTCTTAGACAATGTTATTATATTTGTGTTTAATTGATGAGTGTATGTTGACGAGACGTTAGTCACTCACCAGCTGCTTCCTGGTGGGTGTAATAGAGATGTGAGGTATGTCCAGTTCTCTACTTATGTAGCCCAGTTGAGAGCAAGTGTGGCCAAAGTGTTCTGCTCTCTGTTGATAGTCAGGTGGTACAGGCATGGGTTTTGGCCCTCTCCCACTGACTGTGCCTGCATTACATACAGAAAGGGCTTTTTTACATGGCTACTGTACTCATCTTCTACTGGGTGGGAGAAAACAAATGAAATTAAAATAAAATAGTAACATAAAATAAGTAGTACTGTGGCTCAGGAAAAGGAAGAGCAAAAAAAAAGAGAAGGTCACAAGAAAATTTAAAAAAGAAACAGGAACAGACAAAGACGAAAGGAAAGAAAAAGGAAGCAGAGAATGAAAGGATAAGCAAGAAAGAAGAAAGGAACACCAGAAGAGGAGAACATGAGTCTGGGGCGTGGTCCAGAGGGCCGACAACTGTGGAGGCTGGGCACCGGTCTGGGTCTGCAGGGATTGGTAGCCAAGGAGTTCACAAGGGTGGTGAGGGCATGGGCAGCCTGTCTTAGATGGGGTTCCTGCTGGCCTACCTGCTATTTGTGGTTAGGGACCTGATCTGTCAGTAGTTTGTGCAGACTCAGAAGGTGGCTGATGTCAGTGTGCTTGTTTCTGGAAATGGTATCTTTGGGGCCTAGAGGGCAACTGGGGGCGAATGGCTGGCCGTGGAAGGAGTTCTTGCCCTTTCAGGATGGCTGGGGCCAGTACACCTGCCCTGCACTGTGCTTTCTGCTTTTCTGATGAGGTGGAGCTTCATGCCTCCTGGTGTTGGCTTGGTGCTCCCGCAGCCTGATCTACAAGGATGTGAGGGTGGGCTGTTTGTGAATAGTTGCTGGGTGGGTGTAGGTGGTGGTTGGCCATCCCTCTGGTAACCAGGAGGCTGGGGGATCCCACCGTTCATGTTGTCAGGCACCAGTCTAGGTGCTTGTGCTGTTCCTGAACATGTAGAGCGGACTATGGCCATGCTGCGTCAGGTTAACAAACAGTTCACCATCTGTCACCCCCTAGGAGTCCTGGTGTCATAATGGTTATACCTTGAACTGTGATCTTCCAGGTGGGCCGTTAGAAAGCCCCACCTGCTCTGAGGGGAAAAGACGAGGAGCCTCTGCCCTTGAAGAGTTCCAGCCCCTATGCTGCAGGGGTGGAAGGAGCTGGATAGATTCCAAGGCAGGAGCTCCGTGCCTTCGTTGTGGTCCTTTCTTGGCTGCTTTTGCTCACACAGCCTCTTTTCTGGTCGATGGCCAGTCCATTTCTCTGCCTTTGCCTTCGAAACTCGGGGTTCCAGGTTAGTATCTTTTTGCTTCATTTGGCTTCTCGAGGTTTTGTCGTACAGAAACTGTAACCTGTCTCCCTAGTCCGCCATCTTGCCAGAAGTCCCTAATTTCAAGATGATTTCAAGTTAAAATTGTAGTCAGGGAAAGAAAGAGGCCTGTGGAGGCCCCTGAG